GGGAGTAGATTGCTGTGCTGTATCAGCCATACCCTCCAGTATATATACTGTGCTGTTTCTGGAAGAATAAAGATAGGAAATTGTGTTTAAGAAATGAAGGAGGAAAGAAATCAAAGGCAATGTCCATATTCTACACTGTTCTCATAAATGCAGAGAAACTTTGAATCTATGGTTGAGATAGCAAATACACCTTTGATTCACGTGAGTGAACTTTATTAATTTGGAGTGGAGACGTGTTGTGCCATAGCGAACTTGGCGATTTAGCAAAAGGAAGCAGAGTTAAGCAGCAGCCCACAATCCAATGTAAAATCTACTTTATTTTAACAATGTTTATGATTCTACTTCAACGCCTATGATACACTGCTGAATGTGTTACAACAATGATTAGAAGTTACATGAAAACCATTTGATTAAGACTTCCCTGTGAAGTAGGCTAACTCGTTTTCCAAACTGTCTGGATATATTCTACATTTACATCTTTATCAGAGGCTTTGAATGGGTTATTTGTTATAAACTGTACAGGTTTTCAGAATACTTGAGAGTATTCATGGTATCAGGTAAAAGTATCCCCTCCTAGATATATGCCTGCAACTCTTTGCAGCTGGGGAAAAATTATCATCTTTAGTACTTCTCTGCTTAAAAATCTCTCAGTGTTAATTACTCAGTGGTGCTATAAAAATCATGCTTGCAGGATTCAGGTCTCCTGTTCACCTTCATGCAAAGTAGGCAACTAGAATTTTTTATATGCAGGTATTTATAGCGCCACTGGCTTTGTGTAGTGGAGCCCAGTTGTTAGGGCCAAAGTGAGGTCCCAGTGCCAGATAATTTGTGGATTAAAAGCACAGTACGTGGTGATTCAATGTGAGCTTGTCTTAACTAAAAAACTGTCAACATTTCATTTTACTTGCCCCCTCCCGGCCCGAAAGAACATTGGTTTTGTTGCCATAAATTTGTCCATGTGTATGTATCAATTCATTTGTGGTCTTTTGAAGCGCGCTGGGTTTTCTCCTAAATGCTCTCCCTGCTTTGTCTGTACTATCTTAGAAAGGACACCTGTTTTTTCTGAGCTGTAAAGAGGATTAAGGAAACTAATCCAAGTGAAAGTCGGTGCATAATACTCAGAGAAAGGACACCTAGCACCGTGGGTCAAAGGAAACCAAAAAATGATCCCTGTGACTTGAATCCAACTATTACAGTATTTAGGCATTTAATCCCAGTGGAAACCAGAAGGAATCTGGCCCTTAAGTAGGTGCGGGGATCTGAAGTGCCTTTGAGAACATCAGTCCCACTGCTGTGAATTGCTGAGTGCCTCCTGATTCACTGGGACCCGATCCCTGGGGCTTTATAAAATGAGGAAAAAGGCTAGGAAATTTGTAATACTGCAGCTCCTAGGCACACTGGTTTAAGGAAAATCTACATCCTGCGAGGTGCTGTATGGGGAATGAACCGCAATCCCAAATCCAAACCAAGAGGCAGCTGATGGTCATGGACAAAATAATAACAGGGAATACAGCAAGTGTTGGAAGGGCTCTCGGTTTTTTATAGTGCTGCTCTGGACTAAACTTCTTCGGTTCTAGTTGAAACGAGGATTACATTTCTGGATGGAGACTGATGACATTCAGATTCTTGAGTTAGGCCTGGGCAGAAATTAAAGCATCTCTTAATGTGGTAACATGTAATTGTCACGTAAATAAACAGCTGGAAGTACTTAGTACCACTTAAAAAGTCATTGTGTTTAATGTTATTGTAATTCCAGATACACTGAAAATCCAGGTTGCCTATAGACTGGAAAAAGCATGAATAAACCGAATGAAGATGGGTAGCTGCTGTTCTGCTTAGTACTGACCTCAGGGCTCGTCTGATATTATTAAGGACCCAGGTAGTTTCAGGTCACTGGTTTCACTATACAAGCAAATTAAGGAAAAGCCACGTCCTAGCATCACGCTAATAGTGGAAATGAGAAATTAGATAGACTTTCTTTTTCAGGGACTTGAGAGTTTCTGATGAGGAGGACGTAGGTTTTGCTAGTGAGAGATTTCAGCGAGTTTCTGGCCTTTGACATACCTTAAACTAATGGCTTTACTGACCAGTATTTATGTATCTTCTGAAAAGAGACTAAGCTTTTTTTTTTTTTCCCTTCATATCGTAAATCTTTTGGCATCATTCTTGGTTTTGTAATGCCTGAAGTAACAGTCAAAATATTACAGATGTTTGCCAGCTGTACTCAGCTTTGTGTCCTTACTCACTTGCACTGCAAGTACAGTTTGTGTTGAGAAATGGTTGTTTTAAAAAGGCATAAACCGCTGATGGTAAGAAATGAATGGGCAGTTAAAGAAAAGGGAAAGATAGCTGAGATGTGTGTTTGCATGGTTTGCTTCCATACATCTTTGGAAGATGCTTTTACATTCCCAGGGAATCTTTCAGTATTTCTTGTGAAGTACGCAGAAGGGAAACCAAAGTAGATCCTTTGCAACGTAGGAAAAAAAAAATAAATATGGCATTCAGTGTGTGTTCCTTGTGTTTTGTTTTTTTTTTCTCATGCCGATGCTGCTTACGTGGTTGTGTTCTCAGTGGAAATCTTGGGTTATTCAAGTCGGTTTTCAGAAAAAAATTATCACGTGGCTAAAGCACCTGTTACACCCAGCAAAAGACCAGCAGCAAGGGTAAAAAGTTCAGGAATAAGCCGTCCTCTGAAATTTATTTACAGGCGATATTGGAAGAATACTTGAGAAGAGCAATTACGCGAGGAAAGAAAATAATGGTTTGTGAATGACGGATGGTAGAAAAAGTTCAATATTTAACGTCAAATCTATTACGTGGAAGGTTGGCAGAAATACAAAACATTGATCTAGTTTAGGGTTAAATACAGTTTTCTGCAAGAAAGTGTTTGCAAGTGTTTTTTGCGAAACACTGAAGTTTTTTGGTTTTGTTCTTTTTTTCTTGCTTCTAACTCTTCAAATATTTTATTACTTTAGAACATAGTATAGAATTAGTACAGAAAAGCAGGTGGAGTGCTTAAATCAGTGTAGGCAAAACAACTGATATTAAGTGTGATTTAAATAAGCAAAGAGAAAAATTATGTAAAAATATTAATTACTTTAAGTATGTTTTTTCCTAAGGAGTAGTTATACTGGTTATAAACCATTCAAGTGTGCTGAATTGCACTAAGTATAGACTCTAAATGAGAGATTTTTTGTTAATGGGCGTGCTTTCTACAAATACCTGTGAAAGTCTATTCAAACATAAGCAGAGGTGAAAATACATATATTCTCATCTGAATTTATGCCTTTTATTCTAAAATGGGGAAATACTAATTTTTTTCTTGTGCTTTTTCTGATTGCAAGAGGAATTTGGGGTGTAATTACAAGGCATAAAAGAAACCTTAGAAAGCTTTTTTTTTTTTAAACCTTTTTTTTTAACTTGGCAGTAAGAATCTGCTTCCAGCATGGGGAAATTTGAGAAAATGCGCTCTTGTTTTTTAATCTAGCTGCTTTAGTAAACAAAGGAAGTGTTGTTTGTGAGCAGAACTGATGTTTCTTGTTTCCATCTCTTCCAAAACATTGCAACTAGCAGACCTTTCCCTTTCAGATTCTGTTTTTTGCTCACAGATTGATGCACAGCAAAGGCTTTCCTGGGTTTTCAGCTCCTGCGTTCGCAAATACTGATTTAATCATTCCCTGAACAGACCCAGTTGGATAAACTGAAATAAGGAAAGTTCCTCATTGCTCTTTTGGAAGTGGCGTACTTAAAGTGGGCTCAGTTGTTTGAAAATGGGGTCAGCACTCTGAGACAGGTTGGCTCTGAATCCAGACTCGGATCAGTTAACGCTTTGCGAAGTTACACCTAGGAGGTAACTAGGAGTTAACTGCCCCGTGAAGATGCCTGTCAGTCTCCACTAGCAGGTAGCTCACAGCAGGCTGTTACGTGTAGTAAGCGAAGAGCCGGTTTTATTGAATGTTACTGTTAAATAACTCAAATTAGTATTTAAATAACAATTAATTTAACTCTTAGCCACCTCGCAGCAGAGAACTGCCCCGTGAAGATGCCTGTCAGTCTCCACTAGCAGGTAGCTCACAGCAGGCTGTTACGTGTAGTAAGCGAAGAGCCGGTTTTATTGAATGTTACTGTTAAATAACTCAAATTAGTATTTAAATAACAATTTAACTCTTAGCCACCTTGCAGCAGAGAAGAATGGAAATGGTGGGATGGATGTTTTTGTGCTTCAACTCTTCTGAAACTTAATTTGTTACAAATGAGGCTTTTTGGTAGTAGACAACTGCGGTTGAAGACAAATAGATTAGTTCTAGCCCTCAGTAAAAATGAAGGCTTTGGGTTGAATTGTGATCTCAATAGAAGCATTAGGGCAATTCAGTAACTTTGGGATCTGGCTGGGTTACGGAAAGTATGTAGAAAAAAGCAGTAAATGGAGCAATTCAGATAAACCTCTGCGGACTAAATGTTACCGTCTGTGATTGTAAGGACCAGACTGGGTGACCCACGTGTTCTTGGTCAACCTTACGTTCCTATAAAACAATTCAGGCAGCAGCTGTTACTATTTTACTTTTAAACCTTAGCTTGTCTGCAGTGGGATCTCTTGGTCGTTCTCCAGTTTCACAGAGGAAAATGAAATCTGGCAAAGGGCGTGAGGTCTCGGAGATGTGGGAAAGTTGTGGTCAAAAGGGATACACACAAAGGATGAGGGGAATCCCAGAAGAGGCAAATATATCCAAACCCAGCCTGCTGTGGCACATGAGAAAAGGATGCGGTGGATAGTTCAGAAATGGCAAATAGAAAGACATGATAAACAGAAATGCTAGAGGAAGAACTGCTAATTATTTCTCACCTCTCTTGTTTTCAGGGTATGGCCTTTACATTACATGAACGACAGATGCTTGGGTTGCAAGGACTTCTACCTCCTAAAATAGAGACACAAGACATTCAAGCCTTACGCTTCCATAAGAATTTGGCAAAAATGACTGACCCCTTGGAAAAGTAAGCACTCCTCTGGCCTTGTTTTGTCATGCAAGTACATGGAAATTGCTGTAAAATATTGCCTGGGGATAATCAAACAAGGTTTCTGTGCCTCCACTGGGTTTTTCAGATGTTGGATGTTATTTTCACTTTTGCGCAGAAAACTGTTTTCATCAGTCACGCATTCATCGTGTGGCTAAATGAGGTTGGGGAGCTTTTCTCTTATATTCCATAGTCATAAGCTAAATAAAAAAAAAGGAATATGCACAAATTAGCCAGTAACAAAGCTGCAAACCTTTGTGCGATATGTAAAATGTATTTCTGTAATATGTAAGATTTGGGTGGCAGGTTGCTAGAGCACAGAACTATTGGCGAGGAGGAGGGAGCAGCTAATGCATGCTAGAAAAATATGTGAGAATGAAGATATATTAAGGGTTTGATAATTAGGTATGAAAAACAATGTTTATCATATACAGTAGTTACTGCTAGAAAGGAATTACAGGGTTAGAATTTTGAGTCTCATAATGTGTAATTTTTTTAATCAATCTTGTTTTTTTGTTTACAAAAATCCACTGGTTTGGTGAAAAAAAGTGAAGAATTTTTATTTGGTGTTTTTTTTTTTTCAGAATGGCATGTTTTTAGCATCCTGTTACTGTTTTCATGTAAGCCTATGTATATTTGCATGTAAAAATATGCAGTCTCCTAAAGGCAAGAGGAGCACTGGAATGATTAGAGGCTTACTGGACCACATCAAAACTCTTTTGTTCTCATGAAAAATGAAAGATGACTTTTAAATCCACATCATGTCACTTGCTGATCTGAAACAGTCATGCCATCTGTATTGGCAAAGTGCCCGGTTGCTGTAGCCTAAGACGAATCGCTAATTCATTATCTTTGTGTTGTTGGGTCAGCAAGACTGATCATGAATCGATGCACGGCAGATGGCTAGGTAAATTTGCAAAATGCAGGTTTAATGTGCACACCTAGGTAAGTCCTTCAAAATGAACTTCTTGTTAGGAGTTAAGTTGTTTTACAGCTGTGTTAATGTTAGGATTAACAAGACCTTACTGTCAGGACCTTACTTTTTTTTTGGATGAAAAATTCTTTCACTGATAATTTTTTTTTTTAACAGTAATGAGACTCCCAGCTGCATCCTGTAATAAATCCATGGGTTATCTCTTATCACAATGCATGTTTGCTCATTAACTTGTTAGCATGCATGGTATGTCATACCCAGTAGTTTTATTTCAGCTTTTTAGTACTGCTACTCTCTCTTTTCCAATTTTTGCTTAGTGCTCAAAGCCCGACTTGAGTGGAACCAGGAATTTCATGAAGAAACAATATGAAGCAAGTTTGGGTTTTGCTTTGACATTTTTAAATAAGCATAAATGTGAAACAATAAGTGGGTTTTTTTTCCCCTTTTGCTTATTTTCAGGTATATCTACATAATGGGAATCCAAGAGAGAAATGAAAAATTATTCTATAGGGTATTACAAGATGATATTGAGCGGTTAATGCCAATTGTATACACACCAACAGTAGGCCTTGCCTGCTCCCAGTATGGACACATCTTCAGGAGACCGAAGTAAGAACCATAGATATATATTGCTGCTACTTTTATTATCATTTTCTCTGTATGCTTGCCTGAGGTTTGGAAATGTTTTACTTAATTTTCATTTGGATTCAGCTACACAAGACTTGTGCCAATTCAGGGCAGTAAAAGTTCATTAAATAATATCTCAAGACCCAGTTTATATTGGAAAACAGAACATTTGAAAACAGAAGCAGTAATGTGTCGCATAAATACCACAAGTGCAGAGCTTCGGCCCCATTTCCAGCTTTTCCTAGGTGCCGTACAGCTCTTGAATTCCGAGGAGAGTGCTGTGGCTTTCTCCAGCTCTCAAAGTCACATCTGTGAGTCTGAGGATCTGTATCAGGACAGAGCATTCGGAGGAAAGTGTAGATTGAAAGGGATTTCTGGAGGTCATCCGGTCTCACCCTCTGTTCAGGAGAGGTAACTTCAGGCAGATTCATTAAATCTAGCCCCCTGTGCAACCCTGCACAGAGGCAGAAACACGAGCGCGCACACACGTGTACAGCAGATTTGCTGGAGGAAGCTCAGGCCAACGGCGGCTCTGGCAGAATCAAAGCCATGACCAACATGTTTCTGCTGGTGGCAAAGGATCCCTGTGCTGGAGAGATTCTCCTGATGCTCTGCAGAGCAGCACAGCGTGACATCTTGGGTACAGGAGCAGAGGCCAGCGAGCAGCGTGTGAGGAGAGATGTCGGTAAAGCAGGAAGGGGGAGGCTTGACTCATGGTAGCTCAGCGGACTCCGTTGGGCGCAGATAGTCCCCGTATTAAAGCTGTGCTACTAGGAGTCAGCTTTCAGTTATTCAGACACAGTAAATACGCTTGGCTGGGAGCTGGTTTGGCTTCAGCAGTGACTTCAAAACAACCATTCCGGTTATTAGCTCTGTGTTGAGGAAACCAGTTCAGACTGGCTCATTTCCATGATACTGCAATTCAAAGTGTAGTGCTAGAGCCCTCTTCGCTCGAGGGCTTTAGTGCTGTGTGGAGGAAGGGCTAATCCTTCACTGCCATGGGCACTGGGCTGTGTAGCGTGGCTGCTGTGATAAAGACGGTAAGAAACTCATGGTTTTGCTCCTGATCTGGGGCAGGGGATGTGAAAGATGTACTTAGTTCTCACATACTTCCTTTCCTCTTCCACGGTATTATAGACTAGTTTGAAAACTGTCCCCCTCTGGAAGTTGTCTGTACAAGAAACGGCAGCATGGATTGGAAGTCACGATATGCCCCTTTCTTTCCAAGAACCAGCGCTTTCCAAGTGTTGGTAATTTATCTGTTACCACTTCTGCTGAGCCTTTTGTGCCCCCTTTCCTCCTAACAACAGAGGGCTTGCTCAAGCAGAAGAAATATAGACACTTCACTTCTGCTCCTTTCTGCTCCTTTGCCTCCCCTCCCATGTTCCCATGGAGGAGCACTCAGCAGCGGGAAGGACTGATCTCCTCCTGGTCTTGGAGAAGACCCTGTCTTTCCTTTCTTTTACCTCCTCTCGCCTTGTGTAATGTCCTGAATGGAGATTCAATAAGGTGAAGCCAGGCTTAGGATCACATTCCTTTCTCATATCCTTACAGGAGAGCATAGATCCTGTCATGTCCGATGCTAACACCAGAGGTGCTTTGCCCTTGCAGAGTATTAAAGGTGAATATCTGTAGTAGTATAAAACCCAGGTAGCATCATGAAAAGTGTTTTCTCTGTGTTCCTATTTTAGAGCGTCAAAGCAGCCAAATAAACTTGTGTGTTAGAAGTTGTCCTTTGAGTGATTTATGTCAGTAATTGTAGTGCTTTCAATTTTAAGAAAATTATACAGTTTGACATTTAGTTTTACAAAGCAAGGTGAAATTTCTAATTGTCACCTATAAAATATTTCTGCCTTGTTTTTTTTTTTTTCAGAGGATTATTTATTTCCATCTCAGACAGAGGCCATATAAGGTCAATTGTGAACAACTGGCCAGAGAACGACGTTAAGGTACTACCACTGTATAATTTTTGTTCTACTTGTTATTTAATCTCAGTTGAGCTTCTTAAGATTTGTTAGTATTTGATGGAAGTGTAAATACTAAGTAATGCATCCTTGGCTGTTGGACGATGATGACAAAATACAGCTAACAAAGATAACGCGTATCTTGAGGAGCAGTGTTTTATCCTAAATATGAGGTTTATGGTTTGAGTAAGCAGTGATGATGAGAACTAGGCTTGCCAAACTTTTTATTTTGCCTCATTATTCCACCTTTTGAGGAGGTGTTGGGGGATGCATCTCTGGGTCTCACTTATTGTGTTACATAGCAGTAGGAGAGGTGATCTTGTCCTCAAATGAGGACACAGAAGTGGTAGTTGGGATGCCCAGATTTTGCGATGAAATCCTGTATGACCCAGTTGGGTCGAGAACCGCAGGGGAGATGAGGTGAATGATACTTACACAAACTTTTTCATGTCTGGATTTACAAGTGGAAATCATAAACCCAGTTTACAAGCTGCAGATCCACAGGGCAGCTTGGATCTTTCCCACTTAGCCTTCAAGGATTGGGACAGTGGATTTCAGCAAAGAAAAAGGAGCAGAGCAGATTCTAACATTAAGCGTTATTGCTTCAAGTAAAGTATTCCTTGTAATCTGTTCTTTGTTTGACTATGCAAACATACCTGATTTTTTGCCTGGAAAAAACCACAACTGGTATCGCTCTAAAATTTATAAATTTCAGTGATCATCTATAATTGCACCTTCCTTTGTTTTCAGGCTGTTGTTGTCACTGATGGAGAAAGAATATTGGGTCTTGGAGACCTGGGCGTGTATGGGATGGGAATTCCAGTAGGAAAACTGTGTTTGTATACAGCCTGCGCAGGAATACACCCAGATAAATGCTTGCCTGTGTGCATTGATGTTGGAACTGATAATACAGTGAGTTTGACTGAACTTTGCTTGCTGTACATTATCCCTATGGAAAGTATTTATTTAAGAGCATACGGTACTATAAGAGAAGATTTTTATCTGAGCACTTTTATTTAAGATAAAACCAAATATTTTATGTAAGGGTAAATGATTTGGAATTCACTATGCAGTTACATATCAGTGATTGAAAAACAGCAGTTAATTTGTCAGTGAAATGGTGCATTTGGAAGTAATTTGAATGCTGGAACGCTGCAAAATAGACAGTCAGGTTGACCTGACTTTAAGAAGCTGGAAATGTGAATCAGATTTATTAAAGCAGTTTATTGTTCACAGTATTGATTTGTTCCACTTTAAAAGCAGCCATCACCAACCTCAAGTGCCAGCTGAAATTACTGAACATTGATACAGACTGGAGGCAGTTACAGTGGCTATATAAATGCAGTATCTTTGGTCTGAAATGTGCTACTGTGAACTCTGGAAAGTGTATATTGAGGAAGTGATTCATCCTGCTGCTGTCTTTGATTTATTCTTTTTCAGATGCTCTTAAAAGATCCATTTTATATGGGCCTGTACCAAAAAAGGGATCGCTCACAGGTCTATGATGACCTAATTGATGAATTTATGGAAGCCATTACAGACAGGTACGACACTGAATATTCTGCACGGAAGTATGGCCAAAACTGCTGGCAAACCCCCCACCTAACACCCTGTCCTTGAAACAGTCATTTAAGGAATAAGGATAGGACTGGGAGTCAAGAGATATGGCTGTATTTCTGTTTCTGCAGTGATTTTCTCTGTGACCTGGAACATGCTGCTTGTAGTTATCTGTTAAATATGATACAATGGAGACGGAACTGTTTTAAGCAGTGAAAGGCCTGAGGACATCCTCTTTCCAAAGATAATTGATTACGTGCAGGATTTGTTTTAAAAGGATTGCATTTCTTTATGCATCTAGTGATAGGAATATTTGCCGTGTTCTGTAGGTATGGCCAGAACACACTTATCCAATTTGAAGACTTTGGAAACCACAACGCTTTTCGGTTTTTGAGAAAATACAGAGAGAAATATTGTACCTTCAATGACGATATTCAAGGTATACCCTTTGTTTATGTCACTTCATGTATATATATAAACTTTGCCTAAAACCATAATCTGCCCTATAGATCTCTTCAGCTCACCTTAGTTTTGTACTGTTTTTACAGGGACAGCTTCAGTGGCCTTGGCAGGACTACTGGCAGCACAGAAAGCCACTGGTAAACCACTTGCAGAGCAGAAAGTGCTGTTCCTTGGAGCGGGAGAGGTGAGATGTCTTAAGGGCTCTAGAGCAACGAGATTTAACTATATTTTCTGGTGTTTAACATTTGCAAGGACTCAAGTTTTTCACTTTCTTACATGGACTTAAAAAAAAGCATGAGGGAGTTGGGTGTAGTTGAAAGGGAATTTACCATAAAATTATGATTTAGTAAGAAAGAGGGTAAGAACATCTTGTTAATTTTTATAGCGTTGGAGAGAAGTACACAGTGGTTTTCTTAGCAAGTTAAATCTGTGGCTGTTTGCAGCAGGCACCAGTTACATTACTGGGGCAGCAGTGTCAGGACTAGCACCGTGCTTCTTGGTATATCAGCAAAATTGCTTCTGTCCTGCTGACAAAATAACTTCATTAGCTGAAAATTTCCCCAGCTGGGGAAGGTCCTGATTGCAGTAATTGGCCACTGTTGTGTTGTTGCCTGAGCACCGAGCCCTGCTCCGCACTTCCCTCTACCTTACTTCTCCTGCCAGACTTAGCAGCATGTGCAGAGAGCCAAGAGAAGGGATGTGGAGGGGCAGCACTGCCAGCATCTACTTTCAGCCCTCTGTCTGCAAGGCCTTTATCACTGGCGGCAGGAGCAGAGAGAGGTTTGGAAAGCACTCTGGCACAAAACACTACGCTGTGGTTTCTTAACAGGAGGGCTGCGGCACTAACTTGTTCTTATTGTCTGGTTGGGCTGCTTTATAGTGGCTGCTGAACTGGTACAGGCGGGGGGGCACAGTACCCAGAAGAGCTGCCTCTCTCTTTTGGTTGAAGATGTGACGCTGTAGATCCCAGGAATCTGGCCCCATCTAGGCAAACATTGCTTGTGTTTCAAAGCTGACTTACTAAATGATTTTTGTGGGGATCTTGAACAGGGTGGTGTTTGTGATGACAGATCTCTTTTGTGACTTGTTACAAATCAAAGTCCTTTTAATCCGCAAGGCCGCCCTGGGAATTGCAAATCTCATTGTTATGGCTATGATGGAAAGCGGTGTTTCTGCTGAGGAAGCCTACAAGAGAATATGGATGTTTGACAAATATGGTTTACTGATTCAGGTAAGGGTGCACCATGCCTTGAAATACCACAATACGGATGGCCAGTGCTTTCTGTGTCCTTCTCACAAAAACAATCCACTTTTTATCTATAGGGCCGAGAACAAAAGGTAGATTCCAATCAAGAACCATTTACGCATCAGGCGCCAGAGCAGATACCAAAGACATTTGTAGAGGCAGTGAATGTACTTCGGCCTTCAGCTATCATTGGTAAGGAAGGTTATTTTTGTTTCTGTGTTTCCATCATTTGGTTATTTGCTGCATTTAATTTGCTAACGTGGCTCCAGGGAGGTTGGTGACAGCGATCTGCATTTCTGCTAGTGTAAATAAGATGAAAATATGAGGTCAATTTTCTGCTTGAAATACACTGAGCTGCAGGTTAGCTCTCAGTGCATCCTTCATTGAAGCTGTGGTGCTGCTTCTGCATCTTGTGTCCTCGTTAACTGCTTCCTCTAGTCCTTGTCCAGCTGGTGTCAGACCTTTCTTGGAAAACTCTGAGCATGTTCTCGGGGACTGCATGGCCACAGTGAACTGAAACCGTAATGAAGAGCACTAAGAGTCAGGAAGACAAAAATACAGCCTTTTTCCCTAACACATTCCCTGCACCGGGAGCAAGGGAGACGGCAGTCACAAACACCGCATTTTCTGCTTCACAGGAGTTCCCTAACTTGAGGAATTTATTTTTTTTTCTCACCTTCCTTCCCCTAGTCAGCTTCTCTGGCCAGAATCTGCTAGCAGCATGGCTTGAAGGAGCTCTTTTATACTGCAGATCACCAATACCTGTTAGGTCACCGACATATGTAGGTATTGATTTGTAACTGTGGCTGTCTGCAGAGGTCAGATGGGATTACAGGTATTTCCTGGTACAACTCTGCAATTTCCTTTGCACATGATTTATTTGGAAAAGAAAAGGTTTTTTGACTGAGCAGCTACCCTGAAGTTTGTAGCCAGTGTCACAAATGTCACAAATGTACACCATTTTTTGTTTGGGTGTGGTCAGAAATCCCAATATCTGGGGAATGTGCATTGCACAGTTAACACCCAGCTAGGATGAATAATCTGTGAAGAACCTGGTGTTCCCACTTGCTTATCTAGGGCAGCGATAAGTGTTCTTTACACAGATCAATACCAAAAAAAATCATGTAAAATAGGCTTTTGGAACACATTAATTAGATGTTCCTGGGAAAATGAGAATTTTAAGCAGCCACTAAAAGAGCAGTGCCTGGTTTCCATCTCCTGCTACTAGAAAAGCCCGCGATGCTTTGCTCTGAGTGGGAGACTTCAGATGTGACGTGAACTTAATCTACAGTGGCTGTCATCTGCCCTGAGGCAGTCAAGTATCGATTCTATTTTTACGTGTTTCCATTTACTTCAGGAGTTGCAGGAGCTGGGCGGCTCTTCTCTCAGGATGTGATCAAAGCAATGGCCTCTATCAATGAGCGACCCATAATATTTGCACTAAGTAACCCTACAGTGAAAGCTGAATGCACAGCAGAGGAAGCATATACGTTAACAGAGGTATGTCGTATTTAGAAATGTTGACCTATTGGCTCTTCGTGATAGAACTGTTTACTGAGTGTGAGAACTGAAATTATTTTATTAATGGTTGGACTTACTGACATAATAATACAGATCTTTCTTGTCTTCTGGCAAAAGTAAATGGAGGTGATTTTAAAAGACTTGATTTTTAAATAATGACATTTTGCAAAGCTTTAAAATAGCCTAAATTTTGTGATCACTGTTTCACGCACAGTTTCGATTAACTGTTCCCCACCACGCTTTTTAATTATTTTGCGTTTTAAAGAAACATCTTAGGTTAACATTGTAATAGAGACTAAGTGCAACCTTTAAAATGTAGTGACTGAGTGAAGTCTTTAAAGCAGATAGCGTCCATGCATCAATCCAGGAATTCTGCTTTGCACTCAGTCGTTTCTGAGTATGCGCGGGTCAGAAATTGTATCGTTAGCAGTGACCCGTGAAGACTTGTGCTTCCAGTGCAGGAGTCGGTGGTGGCCCTCTGTCCTCGTGTTCCTCCCTCGTAATGTCCGTGTCTCGTACCCTGGCATTACCAAACATTGAAGTGAGTGAATCAAGAATAAACACACCTCGTTCTGCACCGTTACCTTAACGTTATTACACTATGGGCTGCTTGGGGTGGGGGTTGGAGGGTGGCGGTTTGGGGTGATCTTTTTAATAATGCTATCACCGGTGCATCCAAACCTTGGTTTTGCCTTTAACGAACCAAGTCTTTTATCCTTCTGCACAACTTTTTATATAAAACTAATCATCTTTGAAGAGAGCCTGAGGGGAAGGAGGTGAGGGCAAGGGAGCATCAGGCAGACAGAGCGCTAGCTTTAACACTTTGGACTGGCTGGTAATGCCTTGCCTTTACATTGTAGATTCCAGCACTGTGATCTCTGCCCTGTCCACAGGGCCTGCCTGCAGACTTCAGGGGTGGGGCTCATGAAAAGACTTTTTTTTCTTTCCTCTCCTCTCCTCTCCTCCCCTCCCTCTCCCCTCTCCTCCAGTCCCGTGTGTGAAAACAAATGAGTAGAGATCTTTCCTTGTTTCTTGATGCAGAGCTATGAACCTCCTTCCTTCCACGGTTGGCGTGGCTCAGTTTCCAGCATTACAACCTCAGCGGTGTTCACTTCACACCGGGAAGGGTAGAACTCCATCGTCTCCAGTTGGCACCCAGATTCCGTGTGACTGGGCCCGTCAGCTCGGAGGGAACTCTTGGTACAGAGATTTGCAGGTCCAGAGTGAGCCCTAGGCAGGAATAGCGGCTTCTGGACAAAATCTAGACCTTATCTTTTAATGGTAAATGAGAACGCTTTTAAATGAAGATGGTTTAATATCTCTCAGGTATCTTGCATTAGCCAGAATAGTGAGTTGGGCAGTGTTTCAGCATATAAAATTAAATTCTAATATATTGGCTAGAAAGTAAACAAGAGTTAGTTATTACAGCCAAACCTTTAGCTGGTATAAATAAATGTAAAAACTACTGGCATCTCTGATGGCTGAAGGAGGCCAGCAGCACTATTAGAGGGAGAATCAGCTTAATTTTTGCTTGCACTTTTTATAGAATATCCACAGAGCAATAGATGTTTTAAGGTAAGAGGCTCACTTGTTCCCCATGGCTGTGTGTTGAGTCCCGAGGAGCTGGACCTCAGAGTCGTTGCTATCAGATGCAGAAGCAAGATAGTGCTGGTTAGATTCAGGTGTGGTAACATGTTTTCACTGAAGTAGCTGTGTGAGCATAGTGCTATTTAAACAGTTTGTGCCAAACGGAGAGAGGATCTTTGGGGTTTTTTCGTGTATTGGATCCATATACCTTTTATTCCTGATTTTCCATAAGTTATTATTTATAGACATGGGTTATTTGGACAATTAAATATTACTGGTCAGTAAATGAATGGGTGTCATTTTGTTCCAGTCCTTATTAATACATTTTGTAATGTTTCTGGCTCTTCAGGCTTTTCTCCGTATCTAATGTTTGTTTTCATAATGTTCTTTAGTTCTCCGAAATGTACCCCGTTTACCCATAGTTTGCCCTTCAAAATGTATAATATTTTTCCCTCTAAGATACACTAATTACCTAGAAAATCCTCGCTGACTTTACTTTGTTGTTTAACTAAGTTTGTCAAGCAATTAAGGATCAGAGCTGTCAGCCCCATGTGTCTCCTGGCCTCAGGAATAGCTTAATCCTGGCTGGTGTGAAATCTTGTGCTAAACAAGGAGGTCAGTAAGGAAAAGAAGATACCATCATTAACCTTTTCTTCCTTATTCTTCTTCTCCTAGATGGCACCTGTAAAAGCCTGACAATGTTTTAGTGCCCTCTGCCACTGTGTATTTTGTTGTGTTCTAATTTTCAGTGTCTTTTGGTCCTGTCCTCAAATGCATCCATATGGTTTGCTCCCAACACAAAAAGGCTATTGGCAGGGGTATGCCCTAACATTCAAATGTAGTTCCTGAGTCTTTAGCTTCTTTGGCAATTTGTTCTCAATTTGTGGTCCTGGGCTGCCTTAAATATTTTAAAGTAATGTTATTAAATCTGTTACTCAAAAGAAAATCAAGATTTTTTGCTTACAGGGGTTTTACTGCTTGAGGAAAGGGTCATTTATCTGGAGGGTATATTTCATACTCCAAACTCTGGATTTGTTTTAATATTTTGTGCTGATTAAAATCCTTTTCAAAGGAAGGATAAGCGAACTGCATTATTCACTCCTCTCAGAGCTCTCAGCAATAAAAGTATGATACTGCAGTCCCTCCCTTCACCCTCCTACCCATCAGTAAACAAGTGACCTTTTTGTTCCTGTACTTCTATTTCAGTCTCCTTTGGGAAGTGGCCATTATTCAGCTGTCTTTGTATGCTCGCTACAGCGGTGCGTCCTGGCTTGTGGCCATGGTTCCTGATACACAGTTATGATTATAATAATGGTTAACACGCAAGTAGTTTATTTTGTGTGTGAATAGTTCCTCTAAGTCATTGCTGTCTTAAAGAACAATGAATGATAAATATATTGCTTCCGTTCCTTAGAAAGCTGCATAATTCAATGCACATGCTCGCCTCTCTTGCTTTCCAGATGTTTGCTGCAGAAACATTGCATGTTGTGCAGCTGCAGAAAGATGCAGCTGCTTACTGATTCTTGTCTCTCTTCCAGGCCCTATTGGAAAAAGGTGGGTTTGGTTGTTGTCATTCTGGGACCATAGAAATTGAGTCAGCAAGGGATTTAAATATGTGCTTGAATCCAGTTGTGTTCAGTAGGGCTGTTTGCCTTTTTGCATTTGGCTGTGTGCTCGAGTACCTTCCCGACTCAGTCCTAGAGCTGACTGGGAGCTGCAGGACTCTGATGTCCCTGCATTTCGTAATGACTGTATTGCTCCGTACTGGTGGCTCTTTAGAAGCTGCCTGACTGTGATTATTCCTCCGTTTTAACAGGGCCGTTGCTTGTTTGCCAGTGGCAGTCCCTTCGAGCTGGTGACTCTGAAAGACGGAAGAACCTTCAAACCAGGCCAAGGAAACAATGCTTATATTTTTCCAGGTAAGAAAGAAAATTGTCGTCTTTTAATCTGTACGACTAGGCTATTAGCACCTCCTCTTGGGTTCCCTTACTACACTAGGCACAGGTAGTGAAGCAGCATGAAGAGGTGTTACCAGCATTTAAAGCTGAGAACTCGATCAAAAGAATAAATGAAAGAAAATCAGTTAAGAATGGATGCTAGACATGTGTAGTTACATATGCAATGTGCACACAGTGAGCTCACCCAACTGGATATTTCTAAGAAAATAAGAGTGTTATTAAAGGCTTTGAAAGCTGCTGCATTATGGATTCTTCTGCTTGTTTTTTTGGGGGGAAGGAGGAAATAAGTGTTAATATGCTCCTCTTGAAGTTATGTCTGCACAAGTGAGAGTATAAAAGAAACACTAGGGATATTTCTCTGCCTTCCCCTTTCTCTCCCTTTTTTCCCTGAGCTGCTAAGCTCCAACTCCTTGTCAAAAGCCACCTATTACAATAAATGACTAGCACACATGGTAATAGTTTTGCGAATGTGTGTAGAAAGCTATGGGAAGATTTTTAAAAATAGCCTTCTGTATGACTCGCAGCTTCTCAGCAGCAGGCTGCATATTTTAAAATGTTGTGGCCCTAATTGGCAATAATTTTATTGTAGGCGTGGCTCTCGCTGTGATCCTCAGCAGTGTTCGACATATTAGTGATAAGGTTTTCCTAGAGGCTGCTAAGGTAAGTGTGGAAGCAGAGTAGGCTGTGGCTTCTGACATGATGGTGGATGACATGATGGGCAATTTCTCAAATCTTGCTGTAACTCTATGGTTTCCTGTTGGATTTCTGTTGGTTTTATCCCTCCCCAGTGGGGAAAAAAAAGAATGGATTTTGACCAAACAAAATTGTGAAAAGTATCAGCTTCCGTTGCAATTTTTACTTTTTTTTTTTTTTTTTATCCAGAAATCAAACACCCAAATAGGAAATCTGTCCGTGTGTAAGTTGCCTCCCGGCCTCAGGTCTGGCAGCATGCCTGCCTCCTCTTCCTCCTCCTCCTCCTCCTCCCGCCCCCTGCTCTGGGTTCCACAGTTGACGGAGTGTGGTCAGGGATGCAGGTGGTCCCCAAGCTCCCATCTTCTCCTGCCTTTCCACTCTGGAGCAGGAGCACCTACCACATCAGAGCAGCCAGTGAATCAACCGGCCAAAGACATGGGCAGTCCTGCAGGCATGTTGGGCTCTTGTGACTTCCATGGTTATGGGTAGTTCAGCCTTCAAAAAAAACCAGAAAAAAAAGGATCTTATTTTGCTAAATGCTTACAAACAGAATTTGCTGATACGGGCATAGATTGAAGAGTTGATCTTTGAGAATTTTGAGATTTGACTGCCTTATTCTAGTGCTTTGTGAGCACTCTAGTAGTAAGAACACCGCAACTTGTTTCTCTCGGGTGTTTTAGCATGTTACTGATCCCATTCAGGATGCAGTAAATAGAACTTGTTTGTTTTTCTAACTCAGGCATTGACAGAACAGTTGACCGATGAAGAACTTGCACAAGGAAGACTTTATCCTCCACTGTCTAATATCAGGGAAGTTTCTATTTATATTGCTGTCAAGGTGAGTATGAAGCATAAAAGTGGACTGTACTAAAAGCATTTTATGTGTACATTAACCTGCTGAATTGCAGAGTATGACCCTTGAACCCTAGGTGCTTGGGCACAAAATACCCACTTCTTTGTGCCTTTAGTAAGAGACACTTATAAAAAAATGAAGTTTGTTGGATGCTTTGGTTTGGCAGTGATGGTGGGCCAAAATTACGCTCCTTTGATTTCTGAAATATAAGTTTACAGATCCTGTGGGTAAGGCATTCAGAAATTGTAAAAAGACTTTGGTGTTTGTCCTTATCCCGTTTGTGAGTCCTAGACATATTGCAGGGGAAGCGTGGATGTTCGGTGAATGTAGTAAAAGGCACAAACTGCATGGTGATTTAACTTTTCAGGTTATGGAATTTTTATACGCAAACAACATGGCTTTCCATTACCCTGAGCCTGCAGACAAGAACCGTTACATTCGATCAAAGGTTTGGACCTACGAATATGAATCCTTCATGCCAGATGTGTATGACTGGCCTGAATCTAAGGTTCACTGATGCATCAGAAGATCGCGCTTCTCGGGCAGTATCTTCTACTCTGCAGGGATACCTTTTTCAGACCAATTTGGATCATGATCTTTGAGTCCTGTAATTTATTTTCGCTCGTTATTTTGTCTTTTTTTTTTTTTTTCCCTTCTGCCCCGTTTTTCACTTGACGTGGATTTCTCCCCACTCTCCCAAGTACCTGATAAACTGTATGGATGATGGCATCCGTCACAGGAATGAGAGAGCTCTCCCAAATTAATTTAAATAATGGCATTGCGTTTCTAGCTTAAAGCCGGCACCACACTAAACAATTCCATTAGTGATGTTTTAGCGACGTGCGTTTGATGATGAACTATAGCTCTCTCATCACTGCTGATTTCCAGAATGATTTATTTCTGCTTTTAATAATCAGTCTTCTGATTGCCCTAGTGTTGTCACACTGCGTTATCTGTGACATCACCAAAGAACATTTGTCAAAAAAAAAAATTATCCTTGGAAAGCCTGAAAATCCTATTAATCACTTAATGGCTTTTAAAAACAAAGCTACGCTGTTGCATAATAAATTCTCTCGTGTAAAGGCAGGATCTGAAGTAATTCACAGAAATCTTTTAGAGATTTTACAAGGAGATTTTCTGCAATGGACTCCAAGGTGATGTACCATCGGATTTTTGCTTCATTTGTTAATTTTTTCAAGGTTTAGTTTCTTCTAAGTGAAGTTGTTTTCTCCCTTGCATACCCTTGTTCTCACAAAAAGACCCGTGTGTGATGTTTTCATGCCATCGCTGACTCAAAAACTCCTAAGTGGACTCGCTTGCCACTTCGAACAAACCCCAAGCCAGGCAGCTGATGAAGCTGAGAACAGAAAGTGTTAACAGGCAGCTATTGACACACACATTTACAGAAGTTTGACTGAATGTTGCTTGTGGTCTCAGTCCAGGATATTCAGTTTGAATACAGGGCTCGAAAGACCTAATGCTTAGAAGCTCTAAGCTGATCACTTTGTCTCCCACACTCCATTTACACGTTTAATTTGTCAGGGTTTTTGTGTAAAAACAAAAATGGCGAGTCGAATTTTTTCCTTGCAACGAATAGTACTGCACGTTTGATACAGATACCACAACCTGTGTTCCTTTTCATTTTGTTCCTATCAGGTTTGAGTGCCCTCCATTACTTTGTTATTAGCAGGCAAGGACACGCAGTGATAGTTACAGTCTGTGACTTCTCTAAATCTGGTCTCTGTAACAAGAACAATGGTATGTCAGGAACAAAAATAAATATTACATGCTGTTCCATAGTTTGCTGCATCGAGGCAAAAAAAAGGACAAAAATAAAAATAAATAGATAGATGTAAAAGGGCTATACTGGCAAACTTGAAGCCAGAATCCAAAGAGATAAACTAAAGCTTGCTCAGGATTTACTCATGGCAAGCACCTCTCTCATATCCTCATTTATATTGGAAAATGCAGTCTCCACAGAATAGGCCCAAAATAGAACAGGGAAAAATAGTTTCTGTACCCCCTTAGACATGTTCTCTGTCACTTACTGCCTAGTCTCTGATTTTAAAATTATATTCCTGTATTAGATAAAAAGAACATTAAACTTTGGGAAGGCTTTACCTAAGTGAGGAAAGAAGACTGATTATATAAACCCAGAAACCACTGATGTGGGGAAAAGACTGCATATTTAAACTGTGGTAAAGTGCTGTCCAGTGGGGCTTAAAACGCTACGTTGCCAAGTTGGGCGATGTATGTGGTTTGCAACTTGTATATATAAGTATATGTACAAAAAAGACCAACACACACATATGATGTTTTTACAAAGAATGCTTTTTTTCATCTATTTTTGCTATGCCTGGTTTTTATTGTATTTAAATTTGTGATCTTACTGAAAAGTTATTTATTTAGTGTAAAATTATTTTTACCTTCTGAAAATTCAACTCTAGCTGAAGGCTGTTGTAGTGTGTCAGTGGAGTTCTGCATCGTTGAATTCAAGTATATTGGGAACGCACACTTCCTCACTTCTGCCAACATACTAATTAGGCAGATGAGTAACAAAAATATCCCATGCACTGATCTCGTGTCCTGGCTGAGAATGATCACGGAGGCAGGGCAATCGGTCCGTAAATACGACTCTGTCTTACAAAATAAAGATCTGCACCCATCTCTATTCAGTCTGATTATTTTTTTTCAGGCAAGAAGTGCAGTCATTGTCCATGATCAGTGGGCATCGGTAGTACTCAGGAAAATCTGGCGCTTGGGAAAACAGCGTTACCTGCGTGCAGCAGGAGTCTTGCTTTGGGTAAGAGTGATTTTGGTTCCCAAAGGGAGTTCCCATGCAGGAAATTCGCAGTGGCTGCTGTCGAGCTGAGGGAAGATATTTGTTTTGTGAAGTGCAGTCCTTTCCCTTCCTGGCATGGGTTCTCTTTAAGCAGATGCCGAGAGGGATTGTTCAGAACTGGGTAGCAGTGGGATTTTTCCAACTACAAATGTTCCTGCATAATTTTTCTGGAAATCCCACTGCACAGGTGAGGAAGAAAGAGTCTTCAAACAGTCTTTAACCAACTGAGAGGCTCGAGTTAGAATACAGCACTGCCCTGATGGGGCTGCACATGTGTCAGAGCTGTAGAGAAGGCCTGACTGTCTCTCTCTAACCTGTCCCAGTTACGGCTGCTAAGTGGTACCAGTTAGATTTCATCTCTGCATACGCACTTGTGGACGTTGTTTAATCAGGTTCTGTGGATCATCTATAGCTTGCAATATAGACATGGAGGAATTTTACCTTTAATGTACAGCCATTGTTTTCCATTAGCAACAGGTAACATATCAGCTCACAAAGTTTTAAGTGCATTTCACTCTCTCATCTTTTTCACCTTTTTTTTTTTTTTTTATAAAATACAATGATTCATCTTCAGTTTTGTGTATTCTTTGGATCTAATTAATCTTTGAATTAATTACAACTGCTAATCTTGCCTCTTAGTAAGGAACCACAGTATCCTTTTTCATCTTCTACTTAACCTGGTATTTTCTATTTGCTGGCTTATTCAAAAGCAAATAGATCTTCATCTATACAGAAAGTTCTCTTACGCTGTATGCAAAGGGAAAAGACCTCACCAGGATGCATTTTGTAATGCTACGTAGCGTAAGTTAAGCTTATACTGTTCTTGAAAAAAAATACATCACCTGAAGGATGGATGACTGGTGGTCTAGCTCTTCACACAGCCCTGGTGACTTTTGCCCTCCGACTGGTATAGAAGTCTGTCTGTCTTCTCTCTGTGTGAGGATACTATTTGGATGTATAGAACACTTCTGAGAGGATCAGAAACTCCCACTGAGGTCAGTAGCTCAGTCTTTTCCAGGACTGGTTCAAAATTTGCTTCCTTAAAATCAACAAGAGCAGGACTGAGCCTCTTGGCAGCAATGTATAGAAATGTCTAGGGGAGGAGAAGAAAGGTAGCTAAGGGAGCACAGCCTTTCTTTATAAAATACGTGTGTTCTTGTTCAAACATGTTACAAAGGTTTGTATGTTCCTGAAGCATATGCCCACATGCCAACAACTGACCTGTAGAGGAAGACTATTAAAATGTTGTATCTGATAGATTTTAAAACCCAAATGTTACTCGTCGCCTAAGGTCTTGGTTAGGTTTGTGAACAGTGATGCTTCACGATGTTGTGTTTGTTTTCCAAAGCAACATTTTATGTGCAGATCGGTGTTTAACAGGTTTCCCGTGGTAGGTGCGTGTCTTCTCTGTACTGTTGTTTCCAGCACACTGTTTTGCAAGAGAGGAAAGTAACTCTTTGTCGCAGTCCTGTGGTAGTAACTGCAAAGATAAATGACACACCTTTTAGTTTTTTGTTAGCGGCCCTATGTGGTGACTACTCCTGTAGCAGAGTGGGGATCACTGTTGTACAGCTACAACTGTGAATTTTAGTTCAGCCGACTCTGGGCCTAAGTAAATCCAAGTTGTCTTCTTTCATTTGCTCCGGGTCTTCTTGACTTCAAAGGTGCGGATAAAGGTATCCATGAGACTCTCAGATCGGACTGTAAGACCAGTACAGTTTGGACTCCCGTTCTGTCTCAGCTATAAGCGCTGTTAAGAAAACCACTGTCGTTTTTGGACTCTTTTTAAGATGATGCGTACAGCTATCCCGTTTCATAACAGCCGTACGTAATAGGCAGGGTCTGGTGTTACATTGAATACTGGAGCAAGGAGAAAATCTAGAGCAAAGCTCTAATTGCACCCACTTGACAGCTGAAGTTGAGCAATGTAATTTACTCACCGCTAGCGAAGGGACATCTAATTCTGGATGGATCTACCTTGACCTACCTACCTGCTCCTGAAATACACGTTACCGTGGTATCGGAAAGCCTGCAGATGTTCTGGGTGAACCGTGAGGAAAATTCAGCATGCTTTAGACCTCTGCTTCCTGCCATCGCTTCCCGAATCGCAGCACTTGGTGAGGATGCAGCTTACTCGTGCTTGCTCTGGAGGGAGATGTGCCAACACCTATACCGTACATGGGGAATCTGGTACCTGGTGGCACGGCGGACCACCATGAGCTACAGCTCATGTAAAAAGCGCTCTCACGACTCTCAGTGCAGCAACCCTGAAGTCGGCGCTGGATCGAACTTAACTCTCCGAGTACCTTTGACTTTGACTTACCCATCCTTTAAGTAGTTCCTTTCTAATGGAAATGGAAATAAAAATACTTTTAGGACTACACAAACATAGTAAGATGGCCAGTTTGTCAAGAAATAAAATGTCAAAATAATTTACATTTATTTCTACCGTAAATATATCTACCTTACACAAATAAATGTAAGTCTACTGGAGTGCTTCTGAGAACAGTTCTAGCCTCATCTGTTCGGGGTTGACTTTACCTTGGAGGGTCATTACTCAGCTGAAACTAAAATTGTATTTAAATGTGAACTGTTTGCATTTTTTTTCCTCCTTTATAATGTTGTAACTCTATTGAAATGTGTGTTCTGGTCTTCTATTTTCTTAGTAAAATACA